GACATAATGGAAGGTGAGCCACTGGGAGATGGTGAGCCATTGGGAGATGTATCATTGATTCGGGCTGAATACCAGAAACGGGCTTCGAACCGCCCAGATGGACGAAACTGGAACTCGAAGCTTGGTGCTTGGTCACCATATGGTTAGCTTTCAGACTAAAATCAGCTTTGTTCCGCCCAGCCGGGCGCCATAGCATCAGTCGTGGGAGGTGGGGGGCCTAAGGAAGGGAAGTGGCATTTGTTTGCAAAATGGTTAGTTTCAAGTGAGTTCAGGTTGCCTTCAGAGGACAAGATGACGCCACGGGCTTAGCTGGGTTGGCTTAATTGCTCCAGAGGCAAGGAGAATCTTGACAATGCACCGCCACAAAAGAACAGTGTGTTAAAACGAGAAACATGGCTTCGAGCCATCTTATATATATATATACTCACCATCTTTGACCTCTCATCAAACGCTTTCAAGTGGCAAATGAGAGGGGTCTCGCATGCAAAAGCTTTTGCAGTTCCTTTGTAATTGTGTTTCCGCACTTGACATATCCAAGAGAAACGATATAGGGTCAGCTAAGTTTCTTGGTTTCTATCAATCTATCGCAGTCCTTGTCATATGATCATCCAATCCAAGTGGTGGATAGTGGTGGTGCATTACAGTCATCAGTGGAGGGCCTCGTGCCGACTCATGTTGCTCGTTGGCCCACGTTCACCCACCAAACGAGAAGGCCAAGAGGAAGGTCTTTGAGAAGGTCCAGGCTGAGCAGACCACCTCCAGCAGACCACCAAGTGGTCAAATCCAGACCACCAGGTGGTTTGCTCTGGAGGTGCTTTGCCGATCTCGCTGTCCAGGTCACCGGCACCATTCCAGTGCCTGGAAGCCTCACAGTTGGCAGCGCCAGCGCTGTTGCAAAGCGTGCACAGCTGAGTGAAACAGCGGTTCCAAAGGGCATGAAGATCCATGTTACGGGAGGATTCATTCAGGCATGACTTGTCATTATGAACTGGCAATATTTGCAACTGGGCCAGAAATGATTCAGGCATACTTTCTTGTTTCCATGTTTAGGAGTTGTTTCGACTGTCAGTGGGTCCTTCGTTTACACAATTATGTTTCAGTGTTCTTGGATGTTCTTGGTATTTTGTGGTCAGTTGTCATATATGTATATATATATATATTATATACATTTAACACACACACACACATCTATCTATATATATATAGTAATAGGATTCCTCCAGGTGTGGCGCATGCTGTACTACTATATAGTGTCAAGGCAGTCCATCAATGCCCATGCCCAGAATGAAGAGGAGCATACCTTTCTCCATCTGGCTGTGCGGCGGGTTCCTGAAGGTAGGAGATCGGGGAAATATTGTTCAATTTGCTCAGATTCCAAAGAGTCAGACCTCCGATTTCCAGATTCGATCCGTGTCCTTAAAATCTTAAGTGACAGGTATGAAAGGGGCTGAGGAGTTGAGAGTAGCAGCACCCCATAGCACTCTCTCGTTGCTGAACTTACTAACGGTTAGTATAACATGTTCTCAGACTCAGAGTATATATATATATATCATACTTGTAGCTCTTACCCGCCCAGTAGCCTGACATAAAAAGAGCAGACCGCCTCCAGCAGAGGAGCATCAGCATCATCTTTACCAGATATGTTTGAGACAGTGACAGGATGATTGATAAATTGATGTATTCAATGTATTCTTCAGGTGAACGTTGAGGTCCATGTACTCACCTATCATAAGGGTCACACACCTGACATTCATTGCTGTCCTTGGCATTGCCTTGATCGATGTGCTTTTGCATGTGGCCAAGGTGAATTGGCTGCTGGAGGTGGTTCAGCAACAGTGCCTTGGTTTCAATGTGAGTGGAGATGGCGGATGAATCCCTTCTTAATCAATCACTCCATGGACTCAAAGTCTTGGCTTTGAACTTGCCGTTTTGGTATATTTTGGTTTGGATTTAGGCTACTCTAATGATTTAATGGATCTGGTAACTGTTTTTTTGGGGGGGGAGATCGGGACCCTCCCTGGGTTCCTCATGTTACCCCAAGGGCTTGTGACCTGGACGCGCGCAGTTCACGGTGCCGAACTCGGAGCAGAGCTGCCACGCCACGAGCACCCCACGCCAAGGGTGCAGAACGACGAACTGCCCGGTGCAGAACAATTCGCAGAACTCCTGAGGCAATTCACCTTTGACAAGGTTCTGGAAGATGTCAAGAAGCTTGAGGCGTCATGTTTGAACTGCATCAGTCATCAAGTCTTTCTTTGTTCATGTTCATGACTCTAAGCTTCATCAAGTCACCACAAGAACACGTTCCTACAGGTACAACGGCGTACCGGAAACAAACCTTGAAGGGCAGCCCGTGATTCGAGGTCGATCTCGGCACCGCGAAGTCGACCGGATCCGTGCGAAACGACCCCTTTTTCCATGGCGGAACGACCCGTGCGGAGGCATTTCAAGGGACCACAGAGACCTCCTTGACTTCAATCAAGGAAGAAGTGGCAGGACGGCGAGATGCGAAAAAAACATGACGGCCACGGAGAATCCTCGGCGTCGAACGGCACTTCGCCACGGGTGGACTTTTGGGCCGTGTCACATATCGTGTGCGAAACTGATCCGTTGGGTCGCAGGGGCGGAGCATAGATGAGCATAGATCTACCAGGCCTCCCATTGTGGTGTTCTTTGATTAAGAGCCCCTCAGAGGTGAAGGCGGTCTCCGTCAAACACCCCAGAGTTGGGTCGCATATGAGTTGGCACTCACAGAAGCTTTGCATCCTTGATCCGGATTGATGCTTCTGACCTCATTTGACCACTCCACTAAAAACTGGCAGGATGCAGCCCATGTGGCACACCACGGTGGAGCAAATCACCATGTGACCCATTGGTTGGCTCCCGTGCATTCCTGGTCGCTCTAGGAGTTGTGGGCGAATTCACCGCCCGCTACACTGATGTGGTTGAACGAATGCAGGTGCGATCGAGCCCATCGGAGTGATGCCCATGGAACGTGATGTAATTGACTCTAGTAGGATTTTTAGGCGGTCTAGGTTGAGATTCTCTATACCCACATGCTGTTTAGTGTTAATGTGTGATGTGTTTCTACAAGTGCCTAGTGAAAGCACGTGTATATTGTATGCTTATAACAACAATATATATATATTTCTATATACATAAATGAGTTTTATCAAGTTCCATTATGTTCCATGCATTCTTGATTTGAGGAGAAACTAACTCTCATGCAAGCAAGTATGATGTACATAATCAATAGGGCGACATTAGATGACATTAGTACACATTTAATTATTTGTAACACTTGCTTGCGTTACAGAAAAGAGCGTGGTCCCCAGTTTTAACAAGCTGTCCGCGTATATATATATATATATATCTGTTAGACTTACTTATACAGTAAGTTATATACTGTACATGTATTTTATATCATGTAAATCCCACAGGACGTCGGCATTACTGACGCTTTGATGGTTAGTTCACACCCAATTTGTAAAGTCCTTCGGAACTTGTTGTTTTGCCACGAAAGTAGCTAGATGAATTGAATCTGTTCAACAACCTTGCCAGTTGTTCAGAAAACTGATTGTTGCCTTCTTAATTTGTTCATTAATTACCTATGAATTACCTATGTTTTTAAATCTATTTATTTATCTAAACATCGGGGACGTTGTGTGGGCCAAGCTTCGGCGAAAGAACCTCAACACATCAGCCATGATGGGCCCCACCGAACAATGCCAAGGCGGCTGAGGCGACTGAGGCTGCAGGCTAGGAGTGCCAGAGATGCGCCGTGACCGACTTGCAGTCATGCCTTGGTTGCGGAAGTTTGGGGATGAACTGCCTGGGCTTTTGTTGGATTCTGAAGCTTGCAGTTTTGATTCACTGAAAGCAGAGGTGATGCAGAGAGATTCTATAGGGTCCTTCCTTTTCCTACCTACATCAGGATGTTGATCAAAGGCTTCAAATGAGATGTTTTGGCCTTTGATGCTGGGCAATCTCTGTGGTACAATCCGGTGGTCTTTCCTGTTGAGAGTTCAATTACTCCTTAACTCCTTGGATTCAGGGGGCTGGACTCGAGTCATTGGGAGTTTGTGCACCAATTAAGTCATCAATTTGTGCGAGCGAGTATTTTCTCATGTTCTCACGATATTCTCCAGCTCTTTTGGAGTTAAAGCTGTGTTTCTCCACTCCCGCGGAACGTGGCTGTCGTCGATGTGCGGGTTGCGTGATTTCATCACGTTTTTTGTGCTTTGTCGCGGTTGCTCCGCACTCATCGGCGCCCAAAATTGGCCGAAGGCTTCAGGTCTTCCTACACCTATATGAGGATTGAACAAAAGTCTAGTGTAATGGTTTACGGTCGGCGGTTGGTTCAGAATGGAAATGGGTTCTGCAGGAGCACTTTTCTCCTGACCATCTCCAACAGGACGGAGATTTGGTCAATCACCTATGTGGCTGTGGGTCAAAGCCTGAAACCCCAATCCCCTGTAGCTTGACATAGCTTGACCTCCCTGGCAGTCTGTTCTGTTCATTCTCCCGTGGTCAACCCGGGTCCCCCGGTCTTGACCCACAACCAAATGATGATGATTTTACAGGTCTCGGTGACCCATCCGATGGGATTCTCCGCAGTACGCTCGGAGCGTGGAGGACGCATGGATGGATCGATTGGGTCAAAGTGCCGCACAAAGTCTATGTAGAAAGCAGGACGCTCAGATCCCACTTCAAAGTCCCAGGATAGACGTCCTCACACCCAAATGCAGGAAAATAATTGCAATATATTGCATACGTCTTCTTGGCGGAGGTGCCGAGAGGTAAACAGAGGAAAACACCGTAGCGCAAAAGCATGGACACATATGGACGCAATATATTTATATATATATACACAGAGAGAGAGATAGAGAGAGAGAGAGAGAAAGAAAGAAAGAGTATAATCAATCTACTTGATTCTGAATTCTGTCTAACATTTTCTAACCCTCCACGTGTGCCCTAAGCTTCCATCGACCCACCACGCCATGGCGCTGCAAGACTTGTTGGCCGGGCTGCCAGAAGTCGGTGGACATGAGGAGGCCCACACAGCGGGGAGCGAAGCGTGTTGGAAAGTGTTGGTGGGTGGTGGCGATTTGTTGGAGCTCTTGAAGATTCGTCGTGATTTATGAGAATCGATGTCGGTCAAGAGCTGCAAGCCTCAAAGAGTAAAATAAACGGATCAGGTGGTCCGTTTTCATCTCAAAGGCCCCAAAGATGGTGGTCCCCTGGTCCATTTTGTAAGCCGCATAGGTGCTGGAGCGCCATGTCACCTCCTTCGGCTTTCATCCCTTTGGACGTTGACTGACGCAGGACCCGCTGGTGACGGGCTTGGCGAAGCAGGCGGAGCTGCAGCGGATGCGTTCCGAGGCCTCCCAAGCGCGCTGGGCGGAGTGCCAAGACCATAAGCTTTGGTTGGCGGAGAAGAATTGGCGAAAGCAAGTGAGATTCTAGGACCAGAGAGGAAGATTGTTAGCTTGTTTTATATTCAACTGCTTTTAGTATTGTTGAGGAAGTCATCCTTGTGTCCAAAGAACACAGGCTCACGTTGTTGATCGTTGTTGATCGTCCTTCTTGCACAAAGAATGCATCAGAAGGGCTGCCTCCACGCAAATGAGGAAAGACGAAGGAAGATGAGCGCCGGCGAAAGGCAGAGGAAGCTGCACGTGCAGAAGCAGAGCGAAGGGCGGCCTCTCGGTGCAAAATCACATCACCCAAGGGAACCCGATGAAGATGCAGTTGGTTGTTGACCTGCTTTCCGTCCCCCAAGCACCTGATTTTTGTTTATTGTCAAACATACTGGCTATGGACCACGTTGGTTCTCCCAACTTTTGTGAGACTTTGGGAAGCGAGTTGCCATGGCCAAACCATGTTATTATATGGCCACACGAGTCAAGCAAGTGTTACAGTATATGAAGAGTCCTTCTGACTATTGGCTCTGACCTTCTCCCCCGCTGATATGGACCCTGGTGACCGCCCTTTGGAATATAACATTCTCACGAATTGCAACTGTTGAAGTGGAACAAGTGCAAATATGTTTGAATGTCTTCTCTACAAAATGAAGAGCAAAAAGAAAGCACGCTTCCTGGAACTAACATGGAATCGGAAAGCACGGCTAAACTAAAAAAAGAACAACCAACTTGATGAAGATGATGTTTTCTCGCTAGAACATTGACCACCAAACCTCACTGGCAGAGGTCCTGTAGATTAGCTTCTCAGCGAGACTGTCAGACGCATTGATCCCAGCTTTCCATCCACCCTCACGTGAGCGTTCTTCTTAGTGCCGCTCCGATCAATACAGCCAAGGAAGAAGAGAGGAAGAGACACTTGACTGCAGTATGCATAACCCCCAGTGCAGATCAGTGTAGATGGAACCATTATTCCAAGAATATCCAATGCATTCTTGTGTTACAAGCAGAAATATTGAATTACTTGTTTTTCTAGGTTCACTACAAGAGCTTGTTGTTGCTGGTTGCGTGGTCACGAGACCTGAGATGTGTTTTCTTGATTGAAAAAATGACCAATGCCCATGAAGTGTTGCTCCAGAAGTGGGTTGTGAAAAAGATCTCAAGACCCATTTCACCAGCATGCATGGAATGATTATCCATCAATGGAGCATCGGGAAACGGCTTCGTTTGGATTGGTTAGGGAACAGCTTGACCAGCTCAGGAAGAGCAAAAATCCCGGAACTGTCACCGGCTGAGAAAGCAGAAGCGCCTGGTCGAAAAGACAGCGAATCGAAATGCCATTGGCGCCTGTGTTTTCGTTGACTTTCTTCTACTAGGTGAGGCCATGCTAGTTCGGGAGCACACCGCGGATGCCGGTCATAGATGAGTTCTGTCATGCACTTGCCTTTACCACCCCCATATCACAATCATGATCAGTCCATTACGATGATCATCCATTGCTGGTGGTTAGTATACGTTATATAGTTATATATATATAGCATTTGTACAAGACAGCCAGCACCACCGGCCGTGCCCGCAGCACCTCCCAGGCGGAAGCCAAGGCCGCCCGAGCAAAACTTCTTATGGAGGCCAAGATCCGATGGCCTCTGGGATGCCAAAGAGGTCCAGTTTGACCTTGAGACGGGGCAAGCACTAAACCATACCAAACCTATGTACTGTACTTCATCCTATAACCAAAGGAAAGATCCAAAGCACAATAGAAACACAAGTCATCATAGAATAGATCCCACGGAACCATTTCTCATGAGTTTTCCCCATGTTCTGAAAGTTGTTTGCTTTTTGGTGAGACTCCGGTGAGCCAATGGATGCATCCAGTGTGAGTACTGTAGCATTTATAGCCATATATATATATAGTGGAATCAAAGTAAGATAAGTAAGGGATTCCAAAGATCATTTGGATTACATTTGCTATACTTAAAATCTGTTGGATTCATGCAGCTCAAGGGATTCTAGCAAAGTTCGCTGCTTACCAATCATGCTTGGAGTCCACCTTATAGTTCGCATGGCTTTTGGCAGTGTTGAGTCTTCATTCCCGGTGGGTTGACTGTAATTTGGGTGGGTTGACTGCATGCTGTATGTTTGAAACACTTCGCACACTGATACCAAGTGGCCATTTAGATACTGGTATATATACTATGGTATACTGATACTTAACTTTGGCTTCGCACACCTTCTTCTATTCCCACAGAACCGCCCAAGACATCCCAAGACCACCGGACAAGATCGATCGAGGCTAAGCGAGGAGTGGCAGCCCATGTTCCAACAGCGAAAGCAAGAAGTTCAAGCACAAAGGCTGGAAGACGTCGAACGGGGCCGCCGATCGAAGCTTCGCGAGCGGCGAAGACGCTTCGAAGCTTCGTGGCAGGCGTTTGGATCTGATTGAGACGTCCAAGTAGTAAGCAGGAGAGAAGTCCATGACACCCATGAGGAGAAAAGAATCCAACTAGACTATTACATGTTGTTCCGTCAGGATTCCTTTGTAATTGATTCTGAGTATGAACTGTACTAGGGAGGGGAAACTACGCCAGTGGTTGGAAACAGCTCAATGTGCACAAATGCAGACCGTGGAAGCTTGCAAATTGTCATGCCATCCCCTATATATCATGGTGGCATATTTTATACGAAGAGGTTGACAATGTCAAAAGAGTAGGAGAGGATTATGGCTTCTCAGCAGTGAGGGTGGTTTGGACAAATCGGTAAGAGAGTGGAATTGCCTCCAATGCATATGGCAGGCTTGACGCTGAAGAAAGAGTCAGGCGCGAGAAGGCAGCCGAAGAAGATCGGAAGAACTATGAATGTGGAGGGATGGATGCTGAGCTGATTTGGCGAAGGTGGTCGGTGGCCGCCCTCCAATCCAAGGAAAGAATAGGAAAGACGTACAAACAGATTCTGCAAGGTTAAGAGGGAGCTTACCCCAAGGCAGGGTCTTCCATCGGAAACAAAGAGTGCTGATTGAATCCACCACAGGAGAATTCGACCTTACCTTCACTGTTAGCACTCCAGTTGAACTTTGCTGCTGCAACTGAGGAAGCAGAAGATGCAGCCACCATTTGCCCAGCGATGTTTTTGTTTTCATTTGGCTCCGTCGGGCTTACTCGGTGCGGGGGCAGACTGTGTCTTGGGGTTTGGTCCTGGAAACCTCAGATTTCACTCCTCGACTGGCTTGCTTTTTTTGCGGTTTGTGGAGTGTTTTTGGCGTGATGTGTTGGGACAAGAATTGTCCCCCTTGCCTTGTTGGTATCTTATTCCATTGCAAATCCTTGGAAGTGCCCACCAAAAAAGCGCAGAGTGCATACCGCTTCTCGCCCTCCCAGGCCCATGAATGATCTCCCCTTGGTTTCATCCCAGCTCAACCCCTGTAAAACAAGTTGGAGAGTTACCAGCAGAGCAGCCGAGGTTGAAGAACCCTATAGACTATCCTATAGGTACCCCTGGAAGGTCCTAGTTCAGGTTACTTAACCTCTGTTGTGACGTATGGAACCCGCGTCTCTGAGGTGAGGGTTCGCCAGAGGGAGGCGTTCCTGTCGGCGGAGTGCGAGCGCTTAGCGAAGAGGGCCCAGACGCCCCGAGTGCAAGAGGCCATCGAGAAGAAGATTGAATTGGTTTTGGAGCCTTGGACTGGGTTATGACGGGTGAGCCACTGTCTTAGCTGCTGGAGAGCCTCATTGCGCAGGGTAGACCAAAGAGTAGGCCCTGGTAGACCTTAGAACCCTCTAGGCACTCCGGGCAGACTGTTTTATCGTCACGGTATGTCACGGTTTCGTTCCACAGGAGATGCGGGGCCTTGAGATCCGCTGGAAGCAAAACCTGGAGAAGCGCCGTTTGGAAGAACAACAGGCCTTGCTAGCACTGCAGGAAGAGCGTAAGGAGCTGAGGGGCGGGAAGGAAGGAGGGATGGAGGCATATGGATCCCAATGGAATCCAATGGCCAGTCTTCATCTACAAAAAAGAGATTCTTTATCGTGTCCATTCTTTGTTGAAAAAACTTTACCATCTTTACAGTTCATCGGATGTCAGAAGAGCATAGAAGAGCGAGGGTGACAAAGCAAGGAGGTACCGCTTTTGTTTCCCAAGCCCTCCTGTACGACCTGCCATTACAGAGGGTATAATCATTCCGGCAACTATTTTGGAGTGCATGTGAGCATGTGTATGTAGTAATGTAACCAACCAGCGGATTGGGGACTACATCAGCAACAATTCCAGGAGTAGTCGTAGTCGTAGTCGTATGTAGCCCTAGTAGAGATAATAGTAGGAGGAGGAGGAGGAAGTCCTTCAAGGCCAGACCAATGTGCGCGCTTTCACAGGAGCGGGACTACCGTGAGTGGCGCTCAGAGGTGCAGGAGGAGCGCTTGCGACGAAGACGGCTGATTGCACGGGAGGAAGCACAGGAGAAAGAGTGACCAGGCGAAGAAGTCGGTGTCGGTGAACATCCCTCAGCACCGCCTGTCCCTTCCTGCGCAGGCTGCTCCTGTTGCAAGACATCATAAAGGCACCAAACCACCGAAACAGTGAGGCACCACAGTGAGGCACAGTCGATTTGGGTGCTTCAACTCAGTCGAGCTGGGTAGCCGGGGCTTGGAGGCGAACCGAAGGCAAAGATGGGTCCACTGTCTTCGGACCTCTTTGGCCTAACTTTGCGAATCCATGCGAAACCTCATCGTCCACTGCGAAAGTGGTTGAGGGTGAGATGCATGCAAAGTTGCTGGGTGACTTCCAGACATGAGGCATCCAATTAGCTGTGGCAGGACGGTGTGTTTGCCTTTGGTTCTTTTCTGTGGCAGTAACTGCCAATTGTGCAGCCATTTTTGGCAGCTTTGTGCTGAGGCTCCTGGAATGGAAGACGCTGGAACTTTTGGGACGTGACCTGCCTGAAGTCCTGTACCGTGATCGATCGTAACCACAGCAGATCCCCTAGCGAGAAGTTTGACGAAGACAACTCTAACTCTTCCACTGCTATGTCACTAGTGTTGCTCGTTCGACACGGTGCAAATGGCATGTGTTCGTGGGATTCAGCCGTCCGAGCCTTCACTAAGTCCAGTGGAGTCCTTGCAGTGATGCCTGAGGAAGAGCACAGGTCACAAGCCAGGCACCACAAGCATAGAGATGTTGCCTCATGAAAAAACATACAAAACAAACAAGGGCAGGTGTTGGACATTTTGAACAAATAGCAGAAGAAACACCATTCATGTCCAGGTGCAAGTTGGGGCTTCCACCCTTACCTTGCGTGTCCAGCTTCTTTGGAGAGCTTCTCACATAATCAGATTTGTGGTCACCTCATGCGCACAGGGTGGTCACCGGTTCTCAGCGTTGTCCCCCAGGGGTCCAGGAGTCGATGGCCATGGTGGTGATTGGGGGATTCCTTGCAGGTGAAAGCGTAGTTCATGGTCGTCCTGTTCGAACTGGCCGCAGCTCAGTTCGCTTTAGGCTGTACCAACCAAGAGTCGATTAGCCCAATGAGTTTGGAATGGCTTAGAAGAGGGTGACATTCTGAAATCACTTCGTTTGGTGTTGATCGACCTCCAGGTGATGTGCTGAGGGAGGAGGAGTTGAAGAAAAAGGCTGCTGTGGAGGCTGCATTCCAAAAGTCCAGTGTGCAACGCCGCTGGGCGGAGAGTCGTGATGGAGATCCGCGGAAAAGCCTTGATCACATATGTTTTGAGTACATTGTATGAGGGATAATTATGGCAGCCTGACTCAAGAATGTCCATTTCAAGTGCAATAGACAAGTCTATTTGGGGTTGTTTGGGCAGAGCATCGCTGCTCGAGAAGACATGAACAAAGCTAAGCAAGCCCAGGAGATTGAGTGAAAACCAAGCGCATAGACCTCATGAATCCAGAGATGTGGGGCTTCCCGATCTTTGGGTGTCAAGAGCTTGAGGCATTTTCAGGATTGCACTTGGGAAGGTAAGATCAAGATAGATCAAGGCCATCAGATGGGTCATACTTTTGGTTTCTTGGTCCTGGTGAACAGGTTCGCGTTGATGCATTCTAGGGCGGCTTGAGGCATCAAAGCGGATGCTTTCTTGCATCCCGAACCTCTCCACCTTGGTTGATCATTCATTCACCCCCATTTTAACTCTTGACACGAGTCGGAATGAACTCCACATCTTTCCCACCACACCGACGCAAGCACCGACGGAAGTGTGCATCATTAGCACATGCCCGTGCGGGAGTGTCCCAAGTCCTCCGTTTCGATTGACCGAGGACGGCAGCTGGAGGAGCAAGGCATTTTGCCCTCACGGGTCTTGCAAGAAGCGAAGGTCCTGGCTGAAGAGCAGCGGAAGACCATGGATGCATGGCGGGAATACTGTGGGAATGAGCTGATTTTCTGGGTAAGCGAGCTAGTGTGGCGGTGCTCCTCAGGGTTCAACATTGGGTTATGTTGTACTGTATATTTATCTATCTATCTATCTATATATATATATTGATATTGCAGGCCCATCAGTCAAATTATAACTACATATAATTACCGATCACATTTTGGCCCTGTCTTTTTGTCAACCTCAACTGGCGACGGCTGCCGGACAAACGCATCCAGCTGCCGCTACCAAGGAGCAGGTGGGCCCAAAGCAAGCGGAGCGACTTGTCCCGATCAGCACAGTGTTTGCCTTGCATTGAAGTTTCTCCTTAATGTAGGAGTTGGTTTGTCGTCATGATCAAGTGGATCGCGTAGAGTTCGAAAAACGTCATACGAAAGTCCATCGATCCATCGATTCTTTGGAGTATTCCATGATCCATTTTACTGTATTTGAGAATGACTGCAGGCTCCACCCTCAGTTGCTTTTGCATCATGGAGGACACAGGGTCTTATACAATTCTTGGGTGTGCCATTTTGGCAGTTCCGGGTGGGCCTCAAAGTCAGTTGGGCAGCCAACATCAGCCAGCCAATCAGATTTCCCTGTGTTGAACGACAGGTTGCTTCACAAATGCACAGGGAACACGTATAGGTATAGATCCATAGTCATGGATCCATGTTTGCTTAGACAGGAAGCTTGCACGTAGACAGGATTACTTGGTCATGACCTTTCTTGAATGACCAAAAGATGACTTGGCATGACCAAAAATGATCAACAAAGGTCATGACCCAAAACTTCTCCAAGGACAAGGATTTGGTCATGACTCGCATGACCAAAGATGGTCAGGTCCCTCCAAGGGCAATGCTTTGTGCCGCAAGCATTTGTCTCTAGCAGGTCCAGCCAGTGGGTGTCCAATGGACTACTCTGCTAGACTGGATCGACAGGACACCCAGACAGGGTCCAGGGAGGTCATGTTGGTTTTGATTTCTCTCCCTGTGGGGCACCCACTTCTTCTAGTTAGAGCACTTACCAGTTCACAGGGTCGGTCGGACTTCTTTAGGCGAAAGCTTCTTCGCCCAAAAAAAGATGACACCACATCAGTTCACCCAGACTGTTCCAGGCTAAAAAGTGCAGACAAGAGAAAGAGAAAGAGAGAGAGAGAGAGTGTGTTTCTCAAGGGTTTGTCCATGCAACGGCCTTGTTGGGGTCACCAAATTCTCAGAAACATATCAACTGCTTGGTAGAGAATCAATCTGAAGTGTTTCTAGTCATGACCGAGCTGTTTGGGATTCTCCGAGGCAAGAACTTTGGGATGCCCTGATGGCCAAGAACCGCTGGGCTCGCACGCAACAGATGGGCTCCACACACCCCACGAGTCGCGAAGTGTCCCGCTGGGGCTTCTTTGCAGAGAAGGCTGACAGGAGCCCAGCAGTCAGACGCTGAGATACAGCGGGCACGGGTCGGAGAGCCTGGGGGTCATGTCAAAGCATGAAGCAATGTGCCCTCCCAAATCTTGCTATTTGATGCTATTTGGATAGTTTGTCTCTTGCTATCCCAGTTAAAAATAACAGCATCTCAGCATCACATTTCGATGATATACCAGACCTCCCGAGCTCCTTCGGCCCTGTTTCACCCTTCACTCGGCCAAGCCGAACAGCTGGAGAAAACGACCGCCCAGACGGAAAGTCGAAGTCGGAGGTCTCAGACAACTCGAGCCTCAAAGTGTTACTAGTAGCGGTGCCCTTGTTACTAGTAGCTTTTTGTTCCTATAGTAGTAATGCCAGGAGTTACTAGTAGCTTTTTAAATTGCTACTAGTAGAAATGCCCTTGTTACTAGTATTCATTCGAGCCTGTAACCCGTGACCCTAACAGTGTATTCAAAGTGTTCGCCGGTCATTGACACACGTCTTAGGGCTGGGGGGGCGTCGGGCAAGAGATGGCAAGAGCACAACAGCTTGAAATGTTGAATCGCTCCTTGGAAAACAATGTTGAAGAGCACTGCTTATATAATGATCAATAATGCTGTTTCAATTCTGGTGCTCCAAAGGTTGGGTCTCCAGACCGGCAGGCTCCATACGAATTCCATGGCACTGAGATGGGGGAAATCCGGTTTCGAAGGGCTTTGCGCGGGGCCCTTTGCCCCGTCAGTTGCGGCCAGGCGTCGGCAAAGAGGCGCTGTCTTTTGGGGGAAGTGCCGGGGGAGGTTGCCAATGTGATTGGGTGAAAGAAGCCCAGCTTTAACCCTTCCCAGGTTGAAAGGTATGGGAAGGTTGCAGTTGTTTCTGTGTCTACTGGTATGTCTCAGACGTCACGGAGAAGAGTGAGAATCGTCTTGCTGGTCCGAGCAAGCAGTGCAAAGAAGAAAATGAGGTGCACATTACACCCCTCTCAGAACTTTTCGCCCAATCCCAACTACTTGACGTCTTTTGGAAATACGTATGCACCGAGAAAATAAACACCCCTTGGGAATTGAGCTGCCACAGGAGGCCACAATCCCTGCCGCTGTGCAAGAAGAGCTGAATCGCATGGAGATTGGGATGCTTTGCCGTGGGAAGTTGGGGCCAAGATGGAGCCAACTGGTTTGTAGGAAGCTGAAAGCAGAAGCGGAAGCTAACTTTTACTGCATTCATATTGGTTTATTCTCTTTTGCACTGTGGATGATCAACCTAGTTGGACATAGGGCTCATGAGGGGATTCATTCGCCGCTGCTGTTCTTTTCAAACATGAAATGCATTTGACACCCAAAAACCTTTGGACCCCCAGACTGTTTCAAAAGCAAGAAAGGCCAGGAAATTTGGACATATGAAGAGGACATCAACAGGAATCAACAGTGTCGATGAACGAACAGGACAAGGAAATTAACAGAAACAAAAAAGGACAAGGAACAAAGACAAGGAAGGACAACAAGAACAGCAAAAGATGGGATAATTTCAGGGAGAATTTGCAAACAATTTCAACACACACATTTGAGATCATTTATGTATGTAAGGTTGTTTTCAGTCGTGTGTATGGCTGTTGAACATGGGTTGAAATACGGATTTTTTTTATATATACTGTAACTACTTTTGGTCCTAGCTTGCCATTAATTACAACTAAATCCTCACCGTTCTTGTTGTATGAGGGTCGGGTCATTGCTAGATTAGATTTATATATAGTGTCATTTGGCACCGGCGCAACGTATGCAGGCCTCTCGCATCATTTCATCAGTGATGCGTAACATGATTCATCATGATTCATCAAGTCTATGATTGCACCCCAGTGGGTTGCCACCATATTTTGGTGTGTGATTCCCTGAGAAGGTTCAGAATAGGTCCATGCTTCTGGGCCTTGTGGACGTAGCCTATCGCCGACAGTGATCGGACGATGAGACTCCAGGAGACGGAGTTCAAACACCAGCTCAACGAGCTGGAGGAGCTTTTGGAGCCAGGGATGGTGGGAGATCCTGCAGCCGGAACCAAGTTTAGTCCTATGGAGAATGAACATCATTCTTCGGAAGGCGTGGTACCACTTTCTTTGACATGCAATGACGAGTTTGTTTCCTGTACGGTTATATACATGTCACAAAGACGGTGCCATGAGCTACGGCGCTGCGCGTGAGTCATTGGCGACCTTTTTTAAACGCTGTTGTGCTTCATGCTTAAAGGTTATTTTTGGCCTTTTTTTGAAGGTAACATGAACGTCCGAGATGCTTTTGGGCAAGTTGTGTAAGGGACATTAAAGGAGTATGCAGTATGCTGGCACAAGTCCCTTTTGCTTGTGCCAATCCCAACTGATTCGCTACGAACACTCCTCCAAAAACGGCTTCGGCATGTTTCATTGGTTTGAAGTGAGCATAAAGAAGAATGCAGCCGAATGGAGTTGATTACAACATAGTTATATAAACACTTTCTATGGTGGCATGTGAGGGAGATGTCCATTTTCAGGAGACCTGCCGGCAACTGCGGCCATCGGAGGCTGGGGAACTGGGTAGCGCCTTTTGTTGGACAGCTTTGGCCGCTCATGATGAAGCATGCGAACTCAATTTCGGTTGGAAAGCTTTAGCACCCTGTATGACAGTCAGGGGGGGGGTCAGCTGGGGACCAATGTCAAGATAGCTTATTGCCTTTTGACATTTGGTTGCAGTATTTGGCAATCACGGTCACCCGGGTGCTGTAGATGAAATTGAACCACCAGATCCACCAAAGGGAACAACAACTGTGTGCTCCTGGTATCTCCTGGTTCTGCTTTGCTAGGGTTGCTTAATTTGGCCGCCAGTTTTGCCTCCACAAGCGCGCTTTAAAGCGTCTAGACAATGATAAAATCATTTCGCTTGGGCAAGTTCTGCTTTAGTTTTAGCATGTTTTAGCGATTAGGGTTCCATGAGTAAAGTTGTATATACGAATGCGCACGCAATGACCCGATCTTGGCAAGCGTGATTGGAAGTAAGGAACGACTCCTGAGCTAGGATACCATGGACAACCCGTATACCCTTCTAGTTTCCTCGCTACTAACCAGGAAGGAAAGTGCTTTTCCTTAAGAAGGGGCCAGAGGTCATCACAGTCAGAGTCATCCTGGAACCTCTTGAGGATCGGCTCGACGCTGTCGAGCAGAAGGTGGTTCCAGTGACCACAACGGTGACAGAGGCAACTGAGGTGGGACACTTAATGCTACTAGTAACAGGTGCATCGCTAGTAGTAACAAGTGCCTTACTAGTAGTAACAATGATTGCTGTTAGAATTAAATTATAGTAGAATGATTGTGGGATGTACGGTCTACATCGCGAGAAACAGAGAGAGAGAGAGAGAGCGGACGGGACACATGTATGTGCGTGGATTATAAAGCAATATCATATTTCTCTTGAATACCTGAACAATGAATGCACAGATGAAATATGTTATATACGTGTAAACTTTTCGGTAACTGTGTGCAGCAGCAGTAGCTTTGAGCCGAATTGTTTCACCAGTTTCTGTGGCTTGGCAAATTTTGCAGGGCAAGCTACAAGTCCAACTCGACATATCTTCTTTCATTATGATGCTTTGACCTGTGCCAGGGGGACCAGTTGGAGGAGCCCGAGGATGCAACGCCCGGCGGTGGTGCTATGCCATCGCTGGTGGTGGTGAGTGCACCCGCTGCGGCGACCACAGCTGAATCGTCACTGGTGGAGCGATTCCAAGCGCTTGAGGGAAAAGTGCCTCGTTGGAGACAACGCAGGACGGGACGCAGGTGGATGTTGAACATGCAGAGACAAGGGACGCCGGGAGTTTATGAGAGGCCGGAAGATTTTGGGAGTGTCAGTATGTGGCAGTTGGATTGTTCAGAGGCCCCAACATGCTGCAAAGGTCACCGTATTTGTGACAAGCACAGGCTAGGTAGCAGACGAGGAAGAACCCTAGAGGGAAGTCCTTTGTGCTGTGAGAGCGCGTGGACGATGTGGACGAATCTTGCCAGCTCGTGATCCAAGCGGCCAAGGTGGTTTCATTGAGCCAGTCTGTCGAGGTTGCATGGCACAGCTGGCGCAGAGACCGTGTTGGATGGATGGGAAAGAGTTCATGACAAACTTGTAAAGTTGAACCGATTGATGTAGATATTGCACAGGGCTTACAGTAAGCTTACTGAGGCATCAATTTTTGTTCTGATTGCTTTTTTGTTTTGGCTACAGTAATCACTGAACGGCTTTCCTGCAGCGTGAACGGGAAGCGCATTGTTTCGTGCCATCTCCGAGGCGCCAACCGAGAGCACACCAAGCAGTGGTGAGATCAGCATACAGGTGATCGCTCCACAATAAAAACATTTGGAGCCGGCTTTCACTAGATAATTATAACGCAGTTCCGCTTCACCATACCGGCCTGGTTGGAATCGGTCCCAAGATGCCCTGCGAATATATGTGAATCCATTTTTGTATTTGGACCGTTTTCAGCCAAGGCCTTGGCTGAAAGCCTGGACTTCCACGAGGAGCATCCAATCAGCTTCGACCCGACCATCAGCCCCACCGACCCATCGGCGGCTCCGCATGACGGAGCCACAGCCGTGGAGCATGCGGATGCAGCGACCTCACCCATGGCCGGGTCCAAGGAGGCTGGGATACACCTCGATGTCATGCAGTGAAGCAAAAAAGATTAATTAAGAATGAACAGTGAGTTCAGTTCTCGTTTAACAAGTGTGATCATGTGGTCACAGCTCGGATCCACATGTATCTCCACGCTGCTTGCTTGGCAGTGGTTGCGCGGTGGTTGGGCTGACTTGGACCAGAGGAGATGCGTTTTCAGCGCTTAAGTTGGGTGCTTCATTGGCTTGATTTGTGATGTGGACCCAAAACTTGTCAAACTACCTTCCAAAGGGTTGTACGTAGCGTCCTTCAGAGACGTCGAGCAGCTGTTTGGTGGCCACCAACCTGCATATGGGGGTTTTAGGGAATCCACACATGTTAAGGAATCGAACCAACATGTTAAACGCCCTGCTTGATTGATACGACAATCCTTCCACATGTACATTTGCAGTACTTGTTGCTTGTTGAGATCAACAAGTTGATCTCTCGTGCTTGCTAAACCAACTGCTTGGCCAAACGGATCCAGGTGCCTGCCTCCAGACCTACCTCCCGCTCAGAAGGCTTGAAGAGCCAAGGCTTGAGCATTCCGGATCCACCAGAGTGTGATGATAGAAATTCAAACCTTCCGGGACCAGCCCCACGCACCGATCCTTTTTTTTAGATTACCAGCTGCCCAAATATATCCAAATCTGGATTTTGTGTAGCAAACAAATGGGGTTGGATCGGTTCTAGGGAGATGCACTGGTGGCATCAGAATTGTTGAGTTACTGCTCTTAACCTTTGCATGAATGGTCAGCAACGAAATGTCCGATGCCATAGTGGAACACTGCCCCTTTGGAGGGAATCACCTGTTTGAATCCTTTGGTCAATCCATGTGCACCTCCCCACACCGAACCGCGGAGAATGTGGGAGGAGGATGACGAGAGTCAAAGATGCATCGGTCTTGGGCCAACCAATTTCTTCATTTCGGCCGACCCCAGTGGTCCCTGTGCATTCTTGGACAGCCGGTAAATCCTCCATGTATATGACCGAGCACATGTTTCTTTTTTCCTCTATGGGTTCTCCACCCCTTTTATTGCACCAAGGACTCTAGCTTCCTCCCTGGATGCACTCACGGGCCGCGTCAGCGCCTTGGAGGTGGGAACATGACGCGTCGCCGCTCCGTTTTCGTGGAAGCTCTTAAACAAGAGAATGATAAGATGGATGTTGAAGGCAAAACTGAAGCAAGTCTCACTTGCATCATTCATGGTTGGAGCAGCAGTAGAAGGTGGCAATTTGGAAATCACAGTCGCCCAGAGGATTGTGCAGGAGAGGCTCGGGCATTTTTACACTCACTGACATACTCATACTCAAGGCTGGCATATGTTGCTTTGCCCAGTGAATTGTGCAGGTCATGATGGGTGCTGAAAGGAGGTTGATGCCGGCTACGAATGTGCAAACATCAGTGCCATCAGATGAGGTGCCTTCAGCGCCCTCCATGCCTTCGGCAGATGCACAGGTCGCAGCACCATCAGACCAAGTGCCTTCAGCACCCTCCATGCCTTCAGCAGATGCACAGGTCGCAGCACCATCAGACCAAGTGCCTTCAGCACCTGCCATGCCTTCGGCAGATGTACAGGTTCCAGCGTCAGCAGACCAGGTGCCTTCAGCACCTGCCATGCCTTCGGCAGATGTACAGGTTCCAGCGCCAGCAGACCAGGTGCCTTCAGCACCTGCCATGCCTTCGTCAGATGCACAGGTCCCAGCGCCAGCAGACCAGGTGCCTTCAGAACCCTCCATGCCTTCGTCAGATGCACAGGTTCCAGTGCCAGCAGACCAGGCGCCTTCTGCACCCTCCATGCCATCGGCAGATGCGCAGGTCCTAGCGCCGGGGGTTGACCAAGCACCTGTTGAGCCTGACAACCCAAGAGTCTTGGCAGACTTGACAGCAAAACACCAGCCATCATTAATAATTGGTAGGTTGTGACGACTATATTATACTATATAAATCAGAGCGTTGAAAGGCGCAGTCCAGGTCAATGGTCAGAGAGTTCCAACAGTGAAACTGCTGCAAGTCCTTCGGATTACGGCCTGCTTAGTTGAGAATCACTTCATCGGCCTCTCAGAACTGGCTGGGGCAGGTGCGGTGCAAGATATCCCGCATGATGAACACCAAACCTCACCGAAAGATTCTTTTCAAGTGAGAAATTAGGGAGTTGGGCTAGATGAAACAGTCCAAGTTCTTCAGCTAGCGGGCGCCCTTTGTAATGTACAACTCTTTGTGGCAAGCAGTAAGCACCAACATGTGAACACGGGATGCGCTCAGGAGACGAGCTTCGGCCATCGAAGACCCCACCGGAGCGGCCAGTGGTGCCACGCCTGGTGGGGCTCAGGGAGGTTCAAGAGTGTGTGGAGGACGACGGGGGGGCCGGAACGACAGAAGGGTGCTTTACGACAGCTTAGTAAACAAGACACATTTTCCGACTGGGATGCGGTAAACCAGTAAGGACATGGGCTTCGTGCTCGAGTGCCCACTCTCCTTCCATTGCTACAAACTAGTGGGCACTATACAATGCAGCAATATGCAGCATGCATAGCGGCATTTCATGTAATGTATGATTGCAACATCAGCGACAGCACCCGGAGGAAAGCCATGATTTGGAAGAGAAGCTGCTTGGTTGAATGTACCCTTGCCGTCACGTGTCTATTGGGGGAAGTCAACATCGCCAATGAGATCCTAAGGCGTCTAAGGATCAGAAGGCTCGAGCACCGCGCGAAGTTGCATGATTGCCATTTTGTAGCCACTGAGGCTATCGTTCTTAGAGTTTCACAGCCGGAGCCCAGAGCAAAGCAGCATCTTGAATGAAATTGTGCAGGACAGCTGATGCTGAGAGTACTGGGCTGTTTGGAATAGCTGCAACACCATCAAGCTATATCAAGGGGATACTTTTTCCTAAGATGTGGGGTTTTCTCACTGGCTTTGGGGTTCGTTCAGGTTGAAAGGGAAGTGAGCCAAGCTAGAGGCCAAGTGGAACATGTTCCAAGCACTTGCTAGTTTATCATCGCTTGGTTGAATGATGTTGCATGTACCTGAAGCCGGACTCGGAGCACTTCCAATCTAGAGCCAGGACGTCCGCCTTTGCCTGAAGCGTTGCGAGCTGATTTTGCAGCTCCCAGAGATCAAAGCCTTTATCAAGAAGTTTCAGTCGTCCCTGCAGGCAACTGGGCATGGAGGTCGCAGTGACTAGATGTGTTGTAGACTTGCAGTGGCTTTTCACATGGATTCTTAGGGAGGGTGCTGGTTTCATCCTGATGTTGGGCTCAAAACCTGTGTTGGTGTTTGCCTCAAGTTTTGGTATGTCACTAAATCCCATAGCCATCCATATCCATCCATAGCCCTTCCGGTCAGCCATTCTTTGACACCTCATATATCCTCATATGTTTCGTATTATATATATATATATTTATATGTTTATGAACCTTTGATTTCTACCCACCATAGTCATCCACAGTGACCAAACATGCCACGTCCAAGGTCAATGCCGTGTTGCACGACAGTTGGCTGGGCCCTACGAAGAGCCGCCTCTTCGAGGACGAGGAGGTCAGACGAACGACGAGCGGAAACGAGTGGAGGGTATCCATGACAGCGGAGCTGTTGGACAACACATGGAGATTTCATCAGTGAGATGTGGTGGCATTTCTATGATATTATATATTGTTTTAATATATATATATACACACTTAACACACACATATATATATATAACTATTTACATATATGTATACTATAATTATACATGTTGATTGGCACGGGTCATGACTTGGAGTTTTTGGTGATTTGCTGTGAACTGTAATTTCTTTGCCTGTTCGCTTCTGACGGGCATGTTTGATCATTTTTGCCTGCCAGGCGCCCAAGATTGAGCTTCCTGGATGTTTACTATATTCGTTCTTCTTCCCGGCCAGGGGGTGTGCAGGACTTGCAAGGACACATGTTTGGACGTGACACCAAAACATATACCAAACCAAAGATTGAAGGTTGTGGAGCTGAAGTTGCCAAAGGCCAAGAGTATCAACATGCTCAAACATTCGACAGGGATGAGATGTACCTGTGTCGGTTCCCTGCCGTGTTCTGAGGGTTGTCAAATAACTACTGTGGTGATTTATATAATTGTTTGTCATATTTTGGCCCTTTGGCCTTGTCATGTTTTGCCATTTGTTGGGAGGCAGTCATTTTGGGCCTTGTTCTCTTCAGTATTCGTATTAATTGATGTTTATGCCGTGCTGTTTGAGGTGACATGCGTTCTTGATCACAGCTAAGCGACATTTGATGTTGAAATCAATTGTGGCCTGTTGCGGATTGTTTTTGCCTATGCCGTTCAGCTGTTGGGTCCAAAGCCATCAAGGTTTGGCCTTTTGTACGGCACAGTCCAATTTTGTGAAACAAGTCAGGTGGTCATGAAAGCTCCTGCACAAGTCCAATGAGCACTCTAGATTCACACATCACTCCAGCTTGAGAACTTTGTCAGCTAGTTATAGGTCAGCTGGTTGGTTGGTTTGGAGTTGGAGGAACTTCAGGGCACAAGCCACTCCCATAAAAGTAAGTGGCGTCCAAAACGTGAGGCCAGGAGGGGATCCCCCGAAGCTTCTTCATGCCACCTGCAACCTGAAGCGCCACGGTTGACCTCTGAAGACGGAAAGCTGTCCACTTATCCTGGCACCACTGTAGCGCTGGTCATATGAGATCGCTCTATCGATCTTTATCCTATCCGATCCTAACCTAATCTGACCTAATCTATGTATCTATATATGTATCTATGTATCTGACCTAATCGTACCAATGGGATTAGCTAGTCAGTCTTCCGTATTTCCACCAGTGCTGCCAAGGCCATGCAAATCCACGGGTGATCTCACTTCTGTGGCGGCGGACCCCTTCCACGCGCGCCCAGCTGTGAAGCGTGGCCTGGTTTCTTTTGGAGTTGAAGGCGTTGGAGGTAATATTATAGCAATGGCCTCCACCCTAGTAGCGATGGCCTCGACCCTATAACCCACCTCCCCACACCCTTTGCACAAGTTGCAAAAAACACCTCCAAAGGGTGGCGGAATCAAGACGGACGAACCCAAGAAGGTGGCGCCGCGGATGAAGTTGGCGTGGGCGGCTGTAGTCACACTGCCTCGCACGGGTACCGAGGTGGAGAATTCAACAAGCGCCCCTTCCGCACGGTCAATGATTGGGCTCGGCCCCACACGCCCCTCACGTTAGACCCTCGGGGCAAAGCTCCCCCCAGCCTGCCAGAGATTCCGCGGTGAGGCGGCCGGCATCCATGGCACCAGAATGCGCTCGATGAACAAGAATGACCTGCAACGGCAAACCAGCGAAGAGCACAGACAGATACGGGTGCCGTTCGCGCCGAACACCCGCCGATGTCTCGTTCGTGCCCAGAGTCAACGACTCAATGACTTGTAAGGCAATGTTGGCGTAGTAGCTGTTTCACCTATTTAGTCTGGGATGGCTACATTCATGAGATGCTGATGGCCACCGTGTGTATTGCGTAGCTTAGGTAGCTTGGAGGATCACCAGGTCACAGGAATTGATTTTATAACGTTTTTGCTTGGAAGTTAAAGTTTCATGATATGATTATTATGGATGTCCCCCCCTTTTCATACATTTCCCTCAAAATAGTATGCTTTTTAGGGTGGTTTCCCCTCCCTTGCTTTCATACATTATAAGATACATCAGCTTCCATAATTATTCACAATTTTCCAAGAGTTGTTCGACCCCGTGGCTTCGTACAATTTGCACTAGGGCTGCTGGAGTTTCCTGGGATGGACCGTGGCATTGCAGACCCCCCAAGCATACAAAACAACCAGGGCACCAGGCGCGTTCTCCATCGTTCTCCCCAGAAGTGTGGCCAATAACATGATCATATGATGTCCCCCTTACCCCTTCATACATTTCCCTTGAACATGGTGCCACTGTTTCCTTCAAAAGAAAAGGAAAAGATCACACCTTTGGATGTCCTGTTTGTTCAGTTTTCTTTGGTTTGTGTTTGGTGACTACAGTACCTTTGCTGATGATGTTCCATCTTTGGAGATGCATTGGTCTGTTTTATCCATCTCAAAAGTCCGGACCATGAAGGGAAAGACTTGGAAAGATCATGTTATCCTGGGATTATATGCGGCAAAGGGGGGGGCAGAGAGAGTGGTTGGAGCCAAACACAACAGAAGCCCAAAAAGGCAAAATCACAAATCCTCCCCAGGATCCCGCAATTGTTCATCGTGATTCCGCTATTGCAGCATTGTACCCATGGTGTGCATACATAGATTCTGGACCATACATTTTGTTAGATTCTTATTGACCCTGACCCCCGCCTGTTCATACAATGGCCGCAAATTGTGCATAGGTGCGTGCATCCCCCCATGTGCATACTTTCAGGATTTGATCCCCCTGCCTTTCATACAGATTGCAACGCCAGTGTTTCCAGAAGAACGCGGAGGGAACAAGAAACATGTATGTGTCATTTTGATACATATCTGTTTTCTTTATGTTCAACCCCCCTGTCTGAAAATGCATTTTCAACACCTGCCCCCCCCCATTGCATCATTAAGCAAAATATGAACTGCCCCCCCTCCCTTTGTAAAGTTCGACCCGGTGATCTTGGAGGCATTTCCGACTTGCATCCCAAAGTGTTTGGAAACACCAGCGGAGAATATAGAATGTCCTGATTCCGATGTGATGATTCCGTGTGATCCTTTATTGTGCAAGGTGCAGTGCACCAATCGATCTAGGGAACCTCAAACTTTGTTGGAAGCAGTCATACCCTGCTTGAAGGGAGCAAGTGTTTGCCCGTTCCATGGTGCTGAGATTTATGAGACCCTCATACCCCGTAGAAAGGATCAATAGAGCGCTATTTTTGGGTTTCTCCTCTGGACATGAGAGGCTTCGGAGCGCCAATCCCAGGACGGTCGCGATTTCGCGAGGTAGGTAGATGGGCCTGGATCCACCAAGTGGACTCAGAGGGAGCCGCGACTGTCCGATCCAAAGATCGAGTGGCGCTGCGTCTATCCAGTCCAACCATTTCATCGCAACAACTGGAGACTGACCATCCCAATGTCCCAGTGGAGTGTGTTCAATTGATGATCATGTTTCTGTCCCAAAACACGGTTTGGGTTTGGGGGAGGGCTCGGGGTTCATTATTACATTATTTGGCCTCTCAGTCTTTCCACCCAAGTCCCTGAAGAGGTAAAAGTGAAACTCCCTTTCAACATGTATACTTGCTTGTGTCATGTCTATCCACATTTATCTCTCCATCCATCTACCATCATCTACCTATCTATTTGTTTGTTTGTTTGTTGGTCTATCTAATTTATCTATGTCCACATATAAACACATTAAAAACACCTTTTGCTTCACTGGAACCCACTCTTTGGGAATGTTTGGTGCCTGAATTGACCAACTAAGGCCCTTCACGAGCCGGCTGCTTTGGAGGCGTGCTGTCTCAGACATGCGGTGACATCAGGATCTCACGAACGGGAAAGATCAGAGTGGCTCAAGCGAATGGAGAGGTCGAAGAATCATGGTGTCAAACACCTTGGACATGTTTAGAAGGATCAAGCAATATAGTGATTCAGAAACTTTCTAAGGTCTAGCAGTGCTCCTCTCACAGGGCTCCTCTCCTTGTGAGAAGAGGTTGCCCTCACTTTAGGATATGCAATGGGTCTCCGCTCTGTCAAACAATATCAAACCTTTCTGGGTCAAGAAACAGTTTTGATGATCAAACCATCAGGGGTATTTTTTGGGAGAGTCGGGAGAGTATATCATATCACATTTCAGTTGGGCTGGGTTGGCTCCCGAGACTTCCAGGCAGAGCGTGAAGTTCTTCTGCAGATAGCAGCCCTTCCGCATCCGCCGGTGCGATTGAGGGTTCGACAGCAGCCGGACTTGGCACATGGAGGCCCGGGCGTGCAGGATTTGCTGAGATACAGACTGGTGCAGGGGAAAAAAACAATGTTCAAGAGAGGACGATGTGTTTTGCTTTGTGTTTTGTTGTGATTGCTTGCAAACAGCATCGGTAGTACACCAGCAATGTTTGGGGCCAGGCATGATTCTAAGTCGTGCACATATGTATGTATGTATGTAACGTAACGTAACGTAACGTAACGTAACGTATGTATGTATATATTAATGTAATGTAATGTAATGAAATGTAATGTAATGTAATGTATGTATGTGTGTATGTATGTATGTATGTATGTATGTATGTATGTATGTATGTATGT